GGCTTATATGTTCTGTCACAGAAATGCAATTAAAGACATATTTCCGTCTTCAAAGTTGAACTTCACGAAAAGTGTGCATCTGACACTGTAGCGGTTAGTTGTCCGAATGAACGCTCGCTTTCCCTGGGCTAATCTCCAACATAAATGTATCACTATTAGCATCTTATTACTTCTCAAACGTGAGAAACTGTTAAATATATCACTATTCTGTTAGTAAGTGAACTATTATTTCGGACCGCACTTTGATTAGCCCCTTTCCCGCCCCACTTCCTTTCCCCCGCGATCCTTCGTTGGGGATGCTCCGCAATCCTTCTTCGGAGGCACGTCATCGTCTCCACAAAACAAAACAAAAAACAAGGGGGGACGAGATGCGGGGAAGCGAGAACTTTCTCCGCCTGCAGGCTGCGAAAGGCGAGCATTGCCCGTGCCCTCTGATGGAGGAGGGCACCGACCCTCTCATAGGATTGCGTCTACATTACATGTAGCTTCCTAGCGTGCTTGAAGAGCGAGTCAGGTGATAGGGAGTGGGACGTTAAACATACTGCTCTGTAGATGAATACCGCATTTAACATGAGCAGGAGGTCTAGGGGCTATTTAGCTTCGGCGCAAGCCCGAGGGGCACGGAGATATCACCGAGCATGACGACTGTGTTTGTGCTACACGTGAGGATATCCACCTTGCCCCGGAGATTGTCCGGAGATTGGATTTGCCTGATTGTTGTATCTTGGCGTACACTGCCGGGCCATCGCGCTCTTCCGTGTGAAACTCCAATGTCTTTCCAGGGATTGGTCGTATTGTGGTTCTGTTGAACTGTTTCTTACCGTAGATACACCACCTCCAAGAAATATAGTTATGTGCCCCCACATGAGCACAGAATGCCTGGTCGCTCTTCTAACTGGTTACTGAATACTCGTTTGGGCAATCATAGGTTAATTTGTTGCTTGTCCTCTTGGAGAAGTGGTCAGAGCATGCCGACCTGCCCAAGCTGGGCATTATCTGACCAGATCGGCAAACGACATGGACTACTGAACTTAACTCTTATTTATCAGTCCAGTAGAAGGTCATTCGAGGAAAGTCGTATGTGTCTTGGTTATCTGGGCCGATAATTACCTTTCTGGGTCGACCCCGGAATCAAGGTATCAAATTGGGTCATTTTGAGTTGTTGTTCTCTTTTTATCTTGTCATCCGACTTTTGTCAGGTTTCAACCCTTTAATATCTCTTGACATTAAGATACGATAGCTTCAGCCAAATATGAACTTAATGTTAAACCGCTGCACTTCACAACATCCATTATATCTTATGTCGTGATCTACAATATATGACGGAAGGATTCAGCAAGAAGAATGGACAGCATTAGGTGAGACTGAGCTTCTGCGAGTGAACGCTGGATCCCACGAGAACACGCTATTCTTTCATGTCCTGAAACGTTTCTCAGGGATTCGGCCACAGACGATGAAGCGCGGGCGACACTGTATTGAGCACAGTACACCGATATCCCAACCCTGTGGTCAGATCCCCCCCTTGGCTAGGAGCTTCATTCGTTGTGTAGAACTTAGAACATCCCGCAGCAAGCAGCGCTCATGAACCAGGTGAGGCGCACATAATGCCAATATGTTCATCAAAGAGTCCCATGAACCATGGTCCAAGAAAACTGTTGGTGGGGTTCCAGAATGTGGAGTGTGGAGGAGGTCTCGTGGCTAGCCAAGTTAACGTTAGCACCTCGCGACTTCTGCGATCCTGTTGCGCTTACCCCTCATTCAACTGATGTCGCCGATGCGATTTCTCATGCCACCTGCTCGCCAACCTGGGAGCCATGAGTGAATCCAGCGATGCTCTCCGACCCATACGCAAGTCCTTCGCCTGTGATGAGTGCAAGCGACGCAAGATCCGCTGCTCGGGCAGCGGCGACCGATGCGTCAACTGCACCCGTGACGCCAAACCATGCCGGTACTCGTCGCCTTCGCAGAGACTTGTCTCGCTGCAGAGGTGAGTCGGCTCAGTTATCCTGTGAATCCAGGGAGGAAACCCGAACAAGTTGACCATTTCTTCACATATTAGGCGTCTCCAGGACAGCGAGAGCATGCGCCGGAACATGGAAAAAGCGTGGAAGATCTACCTGCCCCATATAGATCTCGACACGGCCCTTCGCAGTCTCCCCAAGACTACCAGCGAATCTGGGGACAGACCATTGTCGTCTTATATCCAGGATGCAGCCCCCGACAATAGCCATAACACAGGGTTAGTCGATGATGCGGCAGAACAGATGCCTGGGCCTCCGATGGAGCACCTCAACGCAGAGGACTTCGAGTTTGATGAATCAGAAGATCCAGAGCGGTCGATTGATGGTATGGCCTTCCTAACTTCTGACCCACACAAATCGGGATACACGGGGCCGCAGTCCGGCATAGCAGCCCTCAAGTTCCTTCGGTCGCTCCCACCCAGTCTTCCCATCATCTATACCGCCTCTCCACTATCTGGCTTAGACGACGAAGAGGTGCCAGACGCTGCGTCGCACCCATTGCCAGCCAAGAACCGGTATATCGATTCCTACTTTGAACTCTACCACCCAGCCTACCCTATACTGCACGAGGGTACGTTTCGAGCCCGAGTCTGTGGTAAGTCCACTCCCGTTGCTAATTTTGGCTATATCGCCGTCTATGGTTCGGAATATCTGACCTGGACTAGGCGCCCTTGCCAAGCCTCGAGACGGCTCCTGGCCTTTGTTGTATAATTCAGTTCTCGCCATTGGGGCTTTTGTTAGTGCTTCCAGCGACATAAATGGTGATTTCCCTTTCTTCAAGGAGGCGAGGAGATACTTGAGCATGGATATCCTTGAGAAAGGATCATTAGGCTATGTACAAGCCCTGACCCTGCTCGCCAACTATCTGCAGAAACGCAATAAGCCAAATGCCGGCTTCATCCTTATCGGCACTGCCTTTAGCATGGCGCTAGCTATTGGCTTACATCGAGAGTTCGACATGCCCAGCACTTCCCCGTTCACCATGGAAATCCGTCGCCGGACATGGTGGACGTTGTTCGTCTTCATATCCGGTGCACAGTTAGCGCTCGGTCGCCCGGCTGCGTCGTTGGTGGGGGTAAATGTGCAATTGCCGGCTAATTTGGATGACTTGGAGCTTGCTGTGGACATGGATCAAGTGCCCACTGAGAGACCTGAGCCCACTGTGGCGTCGTGTCTTGTCGAACAAGTGAAGCTGGCCAAGATAGCAAATGTGGTCCACGATGAGCTCCTCACGCACCGTCGGCCAAGCTATGCCAAGGCTATGAAGCTGGAAGAAAGCATCCGGCACTGGAGAAGCGGCTTACCTGCTTACTTTGACGAGAACTCGGTACTCGAGCCGCGACTGGAGTTCCCCAAGAGGGTCCTCCTCTGGAGGTGCCTAAATTTGCGGATTGTTCTGCATCGACCTTTTGTATTCGATGCGATCGCCGCGGGCGCACAGTTGAGTATGGCAGTCGAGCCGATCAACTCGTGTCTCGTAGCAGCAGATGAATGTACTGCCTCGATCTGTGGGTTTCTGAGGTCTCTCGATGTTGTCAGACGGGGCTTCGCGTGGTATGCAACAGCCTGGTTGATCACGGCTAGCTTTGTCCAGGCGACATGCTTGATATACATGCCGGACCACACTCTGGCGACTGGCTGGAGAGAGTCGTTGCAGGAAGCCGTCGCAAGTCTGCAGCTCCTAGGATCCTCACTCGAAAGTGCGCTGCGCGCACGAGATATCATACAAAGTGTCCTCGGTAAGAGCGAGATCACCTTTGTCTATCATTATATTCACTGCATAGGCGCGTACTGACGTGATGGACTATCTGCAGACAATAGAGCTGTGACAAACTCGGTATCCCCGAGGTCCATACGGAACACAGCCCCATCAAACACACTCGCCCGTATGAGGGCCATCCCAGACAGTTCACATATCGTAATGGATCAGTCTGCTAACACACTCTCAAATATGGGTTTCGAGGACAGCTTCACGTGGCTCAGCCAGGGTCAGGTCGGCGGCGACTTTTTGGGTCCTGCTGGTGGATTTGCGTACGGTAACGGCTTTGATGTCCTCTAGCCCTGAACATTAAATTCTATTACCGAGAGGGAAAGAAGAAGAAGAAGAAGAAAACAAAGAACTGTAGCCAAGGCTAGCTGTTCTCGTGTAGTTGTTTTTATCGGAGTTGGTGTCTTCAAAGGTGTTCGGTGTGATGCATTATTTACTCATTGCCCCGGCTTCATTTGCAAAGTGGGGATGAGCTTGGGGACTGTACACTTGTTCAGTTGACTTTCATTTCGGAATCCCAAGCAGGGGCCGGTCATTCTACAGAGAATCTAATCTATGTACGCGAAGTTTAAAAGCACTCCTGTCATTTCTGCTTATGAGCTCCTCCAATTAGACTCAGGCCCTCCTCGGTGGCCTTGATCTGCATAGCGAGGTACTTGGAGTAGATACGAGCAAGGGCCAGGTTACCACCCATGTACCAGAAATTGGGGTGACCGCTTGGTCGCCACATCTATGAGAAGTTGTTAGCATGGCTTGTTCGTGGATATGTTCATGGATGCCATTGGATGGTGTTTGACGGAAGGGTCCATCACTTACAGCATTAAGCTCGCCCTCCTCATCCAGATCCCACACGTCCTTGCACCGCGCCGCAACCGTCTCGCCCATGATCTTAGTGACGGTGGTCCTCATGTTGTCGTAGCCTGTGGCCAGGACTACCACGTCGGCCTCGAGCTTCGTGCCGTCGGCGAGGACCAGCTCCTTCGGAGTGAAGCCAGAAATCCCGTCGGGGCTCTGGTGGACCTTGATCTTGCCGCTGATGATGAGCTTGCTGCAGCCGCAATCAACGTAATAGCCGCCGCCGCGGGTGAAGTAGAGACGGGCCATGCCAGAGTCGTCAATGCCCGAGTCGAGCTTGAAGCCAGCGCGCTCGAGACCGTGGAGAGTTTCCTTGTCGACCTCGGCGATGCGTTTGGTCAGGTCCTTGCCCAGGGCGAACATGACGGGGTAGGGTAGACTTTCGCCGACGACGTCTCCCTGATCGGTTGGTGGACTGTGGGAGGACACAGGTTAACACGTTTCGCAATGGGAAATGGAGGTTTGGCCAGACTCACCCATTGTCCTCGTACACGCCCTCGTGAAGCATGAAGACACCCTTGTCAAGGGAAATTATATATGTGCCGCTCCGCTGCAGCATGGTCACGTCGGCGCCGTTTTCGTAGTAGTTCTCTGCGATATCGTGACCACTGTTGCCGCTGCCTACGACGATGACCTTCTTGCCCCTGACATTGGTCTGGGAGGCGTCCTCGTGCTGGCTGCCATGGTATACCAGGCCCTCGAACTCCTTCTGGCCAGGGAACGAGGGGATCTTGGGCTCACCGGCATGACCTGTGCAAAAGACGACGTGATTGGGGTGGATGGTACGGGGCTTGCCGTCGCGTAACAGATCGACGGTCCACTTGGAGGTGGCATGGTCGAAAGTGGCGCTAGTTAGGGTGGTCTTGGTCCACACGTTAAGCTCCATGAGAGAGGCGTAGGCCTCGAACCAGTCACCCAGCTTGTCTTTAGGGGTGAACTGAGGCCAGTTCTTGGGGAAGGGCAGGTAGGCCATGTGAACGAACTCGGCAGGGTCGTGCGTGACAAGGGTCTATAGGTGGCGTGTTAGCATTACATCTATTCCTACCCGCAGGATAAGGGTCCTTTTTTACTCTATACCGGTTCCTCCAGTTATCTCCGACTCTATTGTTCTTGTCGATGACAAGAGTGGTGATCCCGAGTTGCTGTAGACGGGCGCTAACGTTCAAACCCGACTGGCCTGCGAACGATATTAGGACCGCTGTGTCCCATGGCTTCAGCGAGTTTTGGTAGCATGGTCTCACTCACCGGCACCGATGACTAGAACCTTGGGCTCCTCGTCGAGGAACTCGATTTGCCGCGCCCGTCGCTCAGACCATGTTCCCTTTGCCAGACCGCCAGGCATCGAGTCAATCGTGCCGTAGGGACGCTTCTCGTTGAGCGGCTCAGGGAACTCCTTGAAGTCTTGGAGGGTTGTATAGACTAAATAAGCCTTCCAGACACCGGGGCTTTCCTGCGTTAACCGCAGAACACCAGAGCCGTGGCCGACACGAGTCTCGTAGTGGAAGAGGGAAGAGATCCAGGCGAGGCCAGTCTCTCTATTGACGATTTCCAACTTGGGCTGAAACGCGCCCCCATCCTGCAGGCGGAAGTTCGTCAATTCCGACTGCTGGTTCTCCGTCAGGAATTTCTGGATAGTCTCTCTACCGTGCAGGGCCCGCAAGTCCCATTGCAAGGCAATGTGGTCTCTCCACCACGAGTCATCGTGCAAGAGGTCTGAGAGATTTGAGAAATCTTTGGCGACGAACTTGGCCTGAAGCTTGCTAAGCCAGTCCTGGGCGACCTTCCAAGCATTCGGAGTCGTCCTGACGGGGGGCGGCTGCGGCAAATCAAGGATGTGGTCGTATCGTTTAGGCGTCATGCCGTTCGTGCCGTTCGTGCCGTTCGTGCCGTTCGTGCCGTTCGTGCCGTTCGTGCCGTTCGTAAGTACTGTAGCGGTCATGATGAAGCCCGAGAGGGTTTGAAATACAGGTCTGGGTGGGTTGTTTGAGGAGAAAGTTGGCTTGGCCGCAAATAGAGCGGTGGAAGAAGGATATGTAAATGTTTAAAAAGCGAAGCTGCACATCATCGACACCCCGCCACGTCTCCGCAAGCCCGAGCGAGGATCGCCTGACGCTGCAGTTTGGGCCGCACATGCCATTCTCCAGTGGCCACTCGGCCGTGATGCCCGCGCGCTCATCTTCCGAGGCATGAGCCAGACGGGGCAACGCCCATTCACATTCGGACGTGGCATGACGAGTAATCCGGGGTTGAAAGACGAGCGGGTTTGAGTGGGGCCCGGCGATGCTCCGAGTGGCGCTTCTCCGCGACCCGCAGTTCGAACTACCTACCTACATGTCACGGAGTCTGTACTGTACTGTACATGTAGTGCAGAACCTTTGTGGCCGCCCGAGGCGGGTCCCTCTCCCAGCTCTGGGGGGCCTCCTGATGACTCTCGGCATTGATGATGGGAGAGACACAGAGTGACGGGGATTGCGGCTGGAATACATGGCTCTATTGAAGTCTATAGAAAGCCTTTGAATACAGTTCGGACGGCGACTCTGTAACGAAAGTTGCAAGTGTTTGTAATTTCTCACGCTGATCGAAAGGATTGCTTTCCCCGGCAACTCTGTGGTTAGAAATTCAAGTTTAATGTGTCTCTTCCATTGTGTATGTCACTTGGCAATAAATACCGATATATCTAGAATTTCCAATATGTCTAAGCCAGAATCATCGAGCAGTGTACATCCGTCAACCAGCATTGATGGTCCGGTGACCCAGCGCGCATTCTTACTAGCCAACACAACAGCAAAAGCTAGCGAGATCCTCGGGGTTTCCAGGTTCGTTGAAAGAGTGCTTTCGCTGCATATCCCGCATGGCTGTCTCCCATGCAGTTGGCTCCTTGAATATGGCACTTTGAATATCTGAAACGAAAATGTCTGACGCGTGTGTTTGGCATATCAACCGACGTCCAGCAGCAGTCCAGTTACAGCACGAACAAATGACATTGGCCTGGATGCGAAAGGGTGCGTGATTTAGTGCGATTTGGCGTGTAAGACTGCTCACAGCGCCCTTGGAAGCGCAGTAGGATGATATCGTTCTCTTCAGACATCTGCCCTTCGAAAGAGAACTAGGTCGACAAAAGGCGGAGATAACATACGGTTGATCGGGCCTCCAATCAGCGCCATGATGGAGGAAATGTTCATCATCCAGCCCCGGCCACCAGAGGGGCGAAGTTCCTGCGCAAGCATCTGGGCAATGGCAAACTTGGATCCAAGGAACACAGATTTGGAGATGAACATCATGGTGGTATCCCAGATATCCTCATTCGTAGTATGGATTTGAGCAACAGGGAGAAGCGCCTCCAGTCCAACACCAGCATTGTTGACCAGTTTGGATCAAGTTGTGTCAGCGGCTACCTAACTAACACCTTCAATCTGCTGAGCTCCTGCACGGCAGCCGATACAAGAGCTTGTCATTGTTGCGTAGGGGTGACATCCGTCTTGACAAATTTGGCTTCTCCGGGCCTTCTGCGTGATGAATTCATGCGTCTCGACGGCGCACAACACTGGCTCCCTCCTCGGCATATCGCAGAGTATCGGCGCGACCGAGTCCAGACAACGACCCGGTCATGCTGACCTCGTGCTCAAGACGCGGACCCATGGCTGTAGCGCGGGATAAGTAGGTTATGCCTAATGAAGAATAGCCCAAGATTCGAAGAGGATTACATAGGAGATTTTATGATCTGTACATGTACGACGATGTACCTGACGCGCTCCTGCGGGACATGCCCGCCGTAGTGGGGCCGAGTAGCACCAAGACGGGGGTCAAGCCGCCCCGAGATCGGAATCGGCAGCCGTGCACTCTATCTAGCGTTAACGTTATTTGGAGTGCGGGGTTGTGTGGGGTTGGCAAGCTTATTGCGGCTCGTTTTCCGAGCGAGCCAGCCTTCCAGGATTATCATCAAGGTCTCACGACTCTTCGGACTGCAGTTCTCCTGACGAGACCTTCATTCAGTCAATGAAAGCCGCTCAATAGCCAGCCAATAGAAAAGCAGGGCAGATGATAGACTGGGTCATCGTCGTCGGCGGATCCCCCGAAACAATCGGTACGGTACGGAGAATACGGGGCAGCAGCTCAGGTAGGTGGTCTGCAAATTCCGGAAGAAGGCATGGCATCCATGATCCGTCGCACCTTAGTAGATTAGGCAGGAACATGATAGGCCCGGAACGTGGTCCGAGAGACCACAAAAGCGACGGGCATTCAAACGCTATGTGCGTTCAACTTTCTCGACACCGGTTCAGACGCCGCCGGCCGGGATGCGTTTGTGACCGACCGCTTTTTGTCGATGAAGAGGCCCTCCAATTAGGGCAGGTATGTCGATGCAGAGATGGGGGTGTGCGGATGGATACGTTCGTTTGAAGAGACTGGTCTACAGCTTCATCTAACAATTACAATCACTCATTGTCTTACAATTCATGATGACTTCGACACGATCATACGAAGGCAAACTTGGGATTGTTACAGGAGGCTCTCGGGGTAGGCTATTATCATTTGGCCACTTATGGTCCATTGTGTCAATATTTCAGTGTGCTAATGAAGCCTTTGTAGGCATTGGTGCTGCTGTGGCACGCCGGCTTGCAGCCAAAGGATGCAACCTCCTGCTGGCTTACTCGTCAGACTCGTCAACTGCCCCGACTCAGCAAATGTGTCGGGAGCTCTCCTCGGCACACCAGATCAACTGCAGCAGCGTACAAGCTGATCTTCAAACCCCCGAAGATGCGTCCCAGAAACTTGTACAGGCTGCGAGGAGTCTTTTCGAGTTGTACTCCCCAGGAAAGCCTCTCCAAATCGACATCTTGATCAACAATGCGGGCGTATCGTCAAATCAGCATCTAAATGATGCGGAGCAAGGCGCCATTGACGCAACAGAATTCAACCGGGTCTACACAGTAAATGTCCTGGCTCCCCTCTTGATCACGCAAGCTGTGGCCCCATACCTTCCCACTGACAGGTCGGGCCGTATCGTGTCTGTCTCCAGCGTATCTTCTTCCATCGGCTACCAGGGCCAGTCCGTTTACGCAGGAAGTAAAGCAGCCGTAGAGTCGATGACTCGTGTCTGGAGCCGAGAACTCTGCGAGCGGGCTACTGTTAACGCCATCAACCCTGGCCCCGCATGGGGAGACATGTATAAAGAAGCAGGACCAGCCTTCTGGGACATCAACCAGCCGTATGTTGATGCGGCACCTTTGGCCGCATACAATAGCGAGGCTAGTGTCCTGGCCATGGCCGGACCAGATGCTTATATGTTTGATGCAGTGGTCCAGGGCCCGATGAAAGGCAGGCGACCTGCATTCACCATTGAAATCGCCGGGACTGTCGACATGCTCTGTTCGCCGGAGAGTGCTTGGACTACCGGAAGCGTCATCTGTGCGAATGGGGGTATGAAAATGTCCATTGCTTAAAAGGCCCATATTCGTTTAGTAGAAAAGAAATAGCATGTAATAACTATAGGTCACTGTTGCAATGAGAAGGCCTCTTGAAAGTCTGTTTCAGCTATGATATAAGGAATGGCATCTTAAGTAGCAGAACAGAACGTATTTATATATGGACTAATTTATAGAATTTGGACAGTCATACTAAATAGACTAGGAAATATGTTGAAAAAATTGATTGTTACTAATGCACTGACGTAGGTGAGTGCTTTGAAGCCTTTGGGACAAGGATAATATTTCTCAGGCAAAGCGCATTCACAACGACTCGAGTTTAATATTATTTTGGGCAGAGTCATAAGAATAAACTACTTACATAGTCTCAGGGTGAAACTAGCCAGCGTCTTTGGTACAACGAAAGAAAGCCTAGATAAGTGTGTGGCCTTATACCTGGCTAATCTCGAAATAACCCCCTATCCTCGTTTATACAGTAAGCTATTTGGCAACTTGGACAGCCCTACTGCTATGCCACCACGCCCTAATTCTCTTCCCGTAAACATAGATCGGAAGAGTCAAAAGTGATAGGCCAAGCTGTATACCACCAATAGTATCAAACATTGAGGCAGCTCCCTTTGCAGCAAGCCAGTTATTCAAAAAGACTGGGTGTGAGAAATATTAGCACAACTCTTATTTTCACAGGTCCCTCCTTTGAGATGACTACCTGGTCAGACTCACATGAAAATCCGAACCACAGGAAATTCTTTACTGTCATGGATGCAATAAATGCTTCTACACTTATGTCGCGGAAAGCGTCGACAATATATGCGCCTATAGCACACCGTATTAGCATTGTACTTGCTGAGACATGAGGTACATACCTACCTGTAGACACTGCTGCAACTTGAACTGAGACAAAGACGAGGCCCTACATCGCTGCAGCAGCAACAGGGCTTCTTCCTTGTGTTATGAGATTCCCAAAGAGAAAGTAACCAATAGTAGAAACAAAGGGCAAGATCAGCATTAGTGGCAGTCTGAATTCTGGTTCATAAATGCCTTTATTTCGTCTCGTCATCCATCGAGCCACAGGATCAGACAATGCTCCACAAATTATGCATCCAATAGAACCACCAACGACTGGGCCAAATCCTATGTAACCAAGCTGGGCAGTGTTAAGTGAAAAAGGGGGCATAGAAAAGATCTGAGAAATGACTAGTGATATACCAATCACCCACACTGAGCAGAATGAAACAATAAGAATCGACCAGGCAACCACTGGATTGGCTAGAACCAGAAAGGGTCGGCTGATCATCCTGAAGATCGATTCATCAGAGAATGAGCCATGATAAGGTTTCATCCTTTCCAGATAACTCTCACGGGCACGCGCCGCGATTGGTGACATCTCGGCCACTGTTCTGTCGCGAGTTTCCAAATGAGTCGAAGATGTATTCTTATGCTCGTCGATCTCATCAACGGCCTATTGAAATGTCAAGATGAGCGTTTTGAAAAAGACACTCGAGTGTTCTGCGCTCCGTAGACTTACGTCTTGAGAATTCGTATCCAGATTGTACACTGCACCCCGATTGAAGGCAGATTCCCAACCGAAAAGGATACAACAGAGCCACCCAATGCCTACAAAAAGAGACAGCAAGTAGAAGACCCAGCGCCAACCAAGGTCCATTGTGATCTTGCCTGCAATGGCCGACGGCAAGTTAGCAACTCCGGATTGGGCCATCACATAAATTGCCATACGCTTCCCGCGTTCGTGGACGTGAAAGAGATCGCCAACGACGGCAAATGTAATGCTCTCGAAAAATGCCAGTCCGACACCTTGTAAGACCCGAGCACCGATCAAAGAACCATAGGAGTGAGCACGCCCAGCCCAGATGCACCCTGCTAGAACAGCAGACATGGAGAAAAGACTTGCGGGCCTCTTTCCATATTGGCGTGCGAATGCGGACACGAAAATGCCGGTGGCTCCAGCTGCGCATAGTTGATATCCAGTGAGCAGCGAGAATTCCGTGAATGTCATTCTGAATTCAGCCATTATTGGTAGCGCCATCGATGATAGGAGCGGGCCGACGCTAAATAGCAGTGAGTTTGTGATGTCTACCTGGGTGCATCGATGCCTACCCGCCCGTTACGCATACTGTACAAAAGCAATACATGACGAGAATCGCATCTCGCTGCCAGAGTGGCCAGTTCAGCGGATCATTTGGGTCATTTGAAGGCTGGGGCACCAAAATAATATCGGCATTTTTGTCCGTCCCTTTCCGAAGGCCTGAGAGCTCTAGTTCTACTGAGGTTGTAGAAGCATCAAGTAGTACGGTACCCTGTCTTCATGTTAGATTTGTAGTTGTACACAGCATAAGTGAAACAGAAACAGGACAGGTGAGGCGGGAGACGAATTACCGGCACATGGTGCCCAGCACCAGAGTTGTGTTCAAGAACTCCGAGAGGCATCGGGACTACTTCAATTCCTGAATATATTGCAGTCACGTTCTTTTTGACAACCCTACTACTGTTGTACTACTGTTGTACTACTGATCTAGAGCTGGGGGATACACTCTATTTATATGTCACAGTCTCTAGTTCACAAAGGTCTATGAGGTGAAAGGCTGGGAATGCCGATTCAAACAGCCGACAACTACAGTAGTCTCAATCGGGAAATTTCCGATGGCTGAAGCGCGGCTCTCGTGTCTTTTTAACCAGGTGATTCCCGAACCTGATTGGTTGATTATTATCAAAGGCAAGTCTCACGGCGTTTTGAACCAGGTAAAGACAGATACACGGCATTATGACATGGCATTACCTAAAACCCAAAACCATCAGTGCTCGATAGCCAAACCTAGGTGCTGTTGCGAGGTAATCTACTTCAGAATGCGGGGAAGCCTAGCGCTTAGCCCACTGCACTACGAAGGGTATCGTAGTGCATCAGGTAGAACGTTACAGCACAATGAGAGACACAAGATACGATGATCCAAGCTCCTACCTAGGTAATTACTGACCTGGCCGCCATGCCGCGGCATACGCTGGCAGCGTATCCCCCTTGGTCTCGTATGGGGCGCACGGACGGAAACGAAAAGACTGGGGGGTAGATATCCCCTCGGAGGCAGGGGGTAGATATCCCCGGGTTCCCGTACGATAAAACGGCTGCAAATCGGATCAGGCGAGAGAGGACAGCAGTGCGACAGCAGATGCAAGAGCATACGAGCTATGGAGGTGTGGTGGTGGAGATGCAGGTGGTTGAAGTTTGGGTGCGGATTTTGGTGTGGTCTGGTCAGGGTTAGGAGTAAAAGAGGAGAAGGAAGGAGGAGAGAGGCGTACGAAAGACAACCCCAACCCCAAGGGCAGAAACAACCCCAAGGCAAAGAAAACCCCACACAAGTGTCAGCCCTGGACTACCCCACAGACACAAGGCTGAGATCCAGCTGCAAAATCGAGATGCCAC